GATTTAAACTTGCTCTATCTCTCCCATTACTCTGCACAACATGCTCCTTCCAACCACGCACTGGACAAAATAAGATCTTCACGGAAAACAGCAAGCGAATTTGATAATTTGTTGGAGAATAAAATAAAACTCAAACAATCCTGAGAAATTGAGCTCAGCCGGAAGCAGATTCACAATTGTGGCGTGCTGTAGATCTCGAAGCTCCAAGAGGAAGGAGACACGAAGAGAACCCAGTTGAAGTTGGTCCTCCCGGCACTCTCGCTGCAGTTCAGACACTCCAATTTATCCTTGTGGTCCTCCCCGGCACTCCCCGGCTCTCTCGATTTAAACTTGCTCTATCTCTCCCATTACTCTGCACAACATGCTCCTTCCAACCATGCAACGGAAAAAATAAGATCTTCACGAAAACAGCAAGCGAATTCGATAAATGGTTGGAGAATAAAATAAAACTCACACAATCCTGAGAAAGTGAGCTCAGCTGGAAGAATATTCCACAATTGTGGCGCTGCTGTAGAACTCGAAGCTCCAAGAGGAAGAGACCGAAGAGAACCCAGTTGAAGTTGGTCCTCCCCGGCACTCTCGCTGCAGTTCAGACACTCCAATTTATCCTTGTGGTCCTCCCCGACACTCTCGATTTAAACTTGCTCTATCTCTCCCATTACTCTGCACAACATGCTCCTTCCAACCACGCTATGGACAAAATAAGATCTTCACGAAAACAGCAAGCGAATTCGATAAATGGTTGGAGAATAAAATAAAACTCACACAATCCTGAGAAAGTGAGCACAGTCGGAAGCAGATTCCACAATTGTGGCGCTGCTGTAGAACTTGAAGCTCCAAGAGGAAGAGGCCGAAGAGAAACCAGTTGAAGTTGGTCCTCCCCGGCACTCTCGCTGCAGTTCAGACACTCCAATTTATCCTTGTGGTCCTCCCCGGCACTCCCCGGCAGTCTCGATTTAAACTTGCTCTATCTCTCCCATTACTCTGCACAACATGCTCCTTCCAACCACGCAACGGACAAAATAAGATCTTCACGAAAACAGCAAGCGAATTCGATAAATGGTTGGAGAATAAAATAAAACTCACACAATCCTGAGAAAGTGAGCTCAGCCGGAAGCAGATTCACAATAGTGGCGCTGCTGTAGATCTCGAAGCTCCAAGAGGAAGGGACCGAAGAGAACCCAGTTGATGTTGGTCATCCCCGGCACTCCCCGGCGACACTCTCGATTTAAACTTGCTCTATCTCTCCCATTACTCTGCACAACATGCTCCTTCCAACCACGCAATGGACAAAATAAGATCTTCACGAAAACAGCAAGCGAATTCGATAAATGGTTGGAGAATAATATAAAACTCACACAATCCTGAGAAAGTGAGCTCAGCCGGAAGCAGATTCCACAATTGTGGCGCTGCTGTAGATCTCGAAGCTCCAAGAGGAAGAGACCGAAGAGAACCCAGTTGAAGTTGGTCCTCCCCGGCACTCTCGCTGCAGTTCAGACACTCCAATTTATCCTTGTGGTCCTCCCCGGCACTCTCGATTTAAACTTGCTCTATCTCTCCCATTACTCTGCACAACATGCTCCTTCCAACCACGCAATGGACAAAATAAGATCTTCACGAAAACAGCAAGCGAATTCGATAAATGGTTGGAGAATTAAATAAAACTCACACAATCCTGAGAAAGTGAGTTCAGCCGGAAGCAGATTCGACAATTGAGTCGCTGCTGTAGATCTCGAAGCTCCAAGAGGAATAGACCGAAGAGAACCCAGTTGAAGTTGGTCCTCCCCGAAATTCTCGCTGCAGTTCAGACACTCCAATTTATCCTAGTGGTCCTCCCCGGCACTCCCCGACACTCTCGATTTAAACTTGCTCTATCTCTCCCATTACTCTGCACAACATGCTCCTTCCAACCACGCAACGGACAAAATAAGATCTTCACGAAAACATCAAGCGAATTTGATAAATGGTGGGAGAATAAAATAAAACTCACACAATCCTGAGAAAGTGAGCTCAGGCGGAAGCAGATTCCACAATTGTGGCGCTGCTGTAGATCTCGAAGCTTCAAGAGGAACAGACCTTAGAGAACCCAGTTGAAGTTGGTCCTCCCGGCACTCGCCGACACTCTCGATTTAAACTTGCTCTATCTCTCCCATTACTCTGCACAACATGCTCCTTCCAACCACGCAATGGACAAAATAAGATCTTCACGAAAACAGCAAGCGAATTCGATAAATGGTTGGAGAATAAAATAAAACTCACACAATCCTGAGAAAGTGAGCACAGCCGCAAGCAGATTCCACAATTGTGGCGCTGCTGTAGATCTCGAAGCTCCAAGAGGAAGAGACCGAAGAGAACCCAGTTGAAGTTGGTCCTCCCCGGCACTCCCCGACACTCTCGATTTAAACTTGCTCTATCTCTCCCATTACTCTGCACAACATGCTCCTTCCAGCCACGCAATGGACAAAATAAGATCTTCACGAAAACAGCAAGCGAATTTGATAATTTGTTGGAGAATAAAATAAAACTCAAACAATCCTGAGAAATTGAGCTCAGCCGGAAGCAGA